ATTCCATTTTATGTTCAAAAACTTCACGTTACGTATTTTGATCGTTAAAATCTCCAGAGAAAGCAGTGCCTTATTTAAAAATAATTCTAAGACGTTGCGAAACACGTTACCAGTAGAGAGTAAATATATGAGCCACTTATATTCTTTGATCTCTCCATTAGCCGTTAAACAAAAAAGATAGTATTGTGTTTTGTCTTTCTAAATTAATAAAATCGCCTAGTTTCTGTAATGGTGCATTTTAGCAAACTGTCTTCGAACTATTAATAAGTAAGTTGGATCTAAACTAGAGGGCATTGACCTATCCCAGTTGCTGTAACCTACACTACTAATACGTGTTGGTTGGTTTGATGTACGAACATTTACTCACAATTAATAACCTAAATTACTTTAGGTGTTTGAATAATGTATGACAAATCGCCACAATTAATTATCTATCATTATTCAGCAGAATAATTGGTTGTTTATTTTTTAAATTTTACTTTTTGTCGATGAAGAGAAATTGATAAATAAAAAAATTCCTACTAGTACATTAGTACATACTGATTCGGCGTTTGGCTGACCTGGTATAGTCTTCATTAAAAAAAAAACACACCAAAGAATCACCGACACTTTCTTCGTAATTTGGCTGTGACTATCCAAGTAAATCAAGTGGTCTTTGGCATTTTCTGCAAAACAGCATATCCTGACGTAACTTTTTTTTTTGCAAGCCCCCAGTGGCACAGCGGCATGAATCAACGCTAGAATCCGGGTTTCGATACCCATGGTGGCCAGAGCACAGATAGCCCATTGTGTAGCTTTATGCTTAATTCCAAACAAACAAACAAACAAATAACCCCTCCAAAAAATATTTTCTTAGAACTAGTTTTCGATCCGCTTCAGAACTGGTCATCAAGGTTAATGAACAATATAATCGTACAGGCGTAAAAGTTAAATATAGTAGGCCTAATACTAATGTCTTACGACAGTTGTAAACTTGTAATTCTAAAAGCCTAAAATGACAACTCTGAGCGTGTTTCGAGACATTTATATATATATATATATATTTGTTAATTTCTTTTCCTCACTTAAACATAAGATTCAATGAAGAAAATATTTTCTTCAGTGGAATTCATTTTTAGTAAGGAAAGCTGAATAGATGGATAAATGAATAACCTATTAGGCTGAATAAAGATAGATAATTAACTGGGTCGGTGTGTCTTATTTCATCCAAACATCTAAAGTATTATAAGTTATTAGTGGCGAATAATCGACTATACATCAAAACCAAACGTTTAATATTGTAATTTAATTACATTGTATAATGCTATAATGCTAAACAGCTAAGATAAACGAAAGACGTCATTCGAAATGAGATTTGTATCCAAACCAAGGTCTTTCTGTACAGCCCTTTACAAGGACCACAATGGTGAGATTATTCTAGTTTTCGTCGTCAGAATGGTTTTCTCTATGAATAACTAAAACTTCTTGAATGAACAGATGAATGTACGCCAGATGTCTAGTAGTACAATAATTATCAACTCTCGAATTAATTGTCTTAATATAAAATATTTTCTTTTGTAAGAAAAATGTTTAATTTCTCAGCAACCGCAGATTATAATTAAAATGAATACTATTAACTTGATGTAAGAACGTGAGGACGTTATATGGATCTTGCAAAACGTAGTGCATTCTCTCAGTGTATAATATATACATAGAGACATTTCTAATAACGTGGAGATAAAGATTTCTTTATCTCAAAGTGTAAACTTTCAGCAGTTAATAGAACCAATACATCGATTTATTTACATAAAATACATTCAAAAACATTTTCGTAGATCAACAAGATCATAAACATGAAATGGAAAATATTGATAAGATAAGTAACGAATTCACAACTTACTTGTTTTTATAAAGCTGTTATTTCAATCTATTAGCCAGTACCAAAATAGTAACATAATTCTTCTTTCAAATTTTTTAATTAATTAATTGAGACTGTGAGGAATAAAATCTCCGATAAATAAAAAAAGTGTAATGTTGCCACTGTTAAAACTCAATTATGAAGCTGTTACTTAAATTATAAATTAAATCTGTAGCTCTAAAAACACATTGATTAGGGAACACCACTGCTTGAAAATCGGGGAGGGAATGGTTACTTTCTGCTGTAGTTCTTATTTCAATAGGAAATGGACTCAATTTTGGTGGTGATTCAGACAGGACTCTGTTGCGAGCATCTGCTGTCAACCGCTAGTATAAATCTAGTGAAAGAGTGCTAATAATTTTGAAACTCGAATATTAGTCATGATACGGAGCTGTCAAAAGCATATTCTGAATGTTTTTCGTCAAAATAAACGATGTCCAGACTAGCATGTTGCACTAACTTGAAGACGTATACCTTATCCAACTTAGAATTTTACCAATGTACAAAATATAGTGTTGTCTAAAATGTCGCAAAATAACAAATAATTCATAACTCACTTAACTATCACCAACAGAGCAAGTCCAGACCTGCTGAAACATTCTCCCACCAAAATATTGATTTTACCATTGTTTATGGTTGAATTGATAGTCATTTCTCAAGTATTATCCAGGTTTCAATGAAAACCCAAACTATTTGATTGCGAAACTAATAATAAGTAGCAATATACATCCCTCATCATTATTATTTTTTATTGTTTTTCCTTTAACTTCAACATTCAAGGCACAATGAAACTGGTGCTTTGCACACACAGCTGTTATGAACGACTACTAGGCTGAAACTCTTCTGTGAAATCAAGCAGCAAGGATGCTTACAGTTGATGTGAAGGCTTTCATCCTGATACCTTACTAAAGTCATGGATAATGGGTTTATTTTATGGTTTTGTTCCACAACATAGTCCTATGTTTGAATCGATAGACCAAAAAGGGAGTAATTTTGAGTTCTGGGTCTATATTTCATATTACTGCGTTCAGCATAATTTCTCATCTACAGACTACTTCTGCAGTATATTTAAATATGAAAAGGTGGGTTGAAATGTCTCGGATATTCATATGACCAATAAAGCATCGAACTACACCATAGGATGAATGAATGTAAAAATTCAGAGGGGAACTGCCTATTACCACTATGAATGTACTCTTTCCCAGTATTTGTGGGAATTTATTGTTAAAGAAGGCAGTAAAATAAAAGTCAGATATAAATGATACACAATAAAAGAGATTTGTCGAGATTTCTCACAAAAGCAAGTCACCCACAAACTAGGTTTTTGTTCTACTTTTAATCTATGAGATGGGCCATGAGTTAAAATAGCAAGATTATAAAAATGATTTACTATAGACAACAAGATTATATCTGCTTTTATTCTATTGTACTTCATAAAAAAAACCTTGTACGATGTGATGCTACAAAACATTACGATTAAATATATTCATTTATATAAACAAATATATTAATTTAGTGTTATTAGAATATTTTAGACTTTAATAAAAGGCCTTGTCTCTTTTTTTAGGAACAAAGGTTATGCATACAATCTTAGGCTGGATGTAGCCTCATAGTTAAAGTGCAGGAACGTGAATTGGAGAGTCTATGACTTGTGTCACTTGTTCCACACTTTGTAGATGGAGAAGTGTCAATGGTGTAACATTCAAATTCCATGTCCTCATTCTAATCAGTTCTACGTTACAGATGGCTAACCCCATGTATTATATAAGGAGTATTTTAGGTCGAAAATACCAAATACTTTTTGCTGAATCCTAATCCTATAAGTAGTGTGAATATGTAAAAAATTGAAACAAACAACAACTGATGTCAATAATCTGAAAAAAAAAACGTTGTTCTCGACCATCACAATTGTCAAAGGATATTTTGGAATGCATTTTTTTGTGTGTGTGTGAGTTAGCTCTTTTCTTAGTGTATGCAGAAAAAGATGTTTCTTTTCTCCTTTCTTGATTGTAATCTGGGTCAAGGTGGAACCACAAACGAAAAAAATATTCAAATGCCATATACAAGTTCAAATGCTTCATTTCTTGACTTATTAACACCGGCTAGCATCATCGCGTTAAAGAAACTTCATGGTTCATTAGAATTCAAACACTTCTAGTTTTCTTTCAGCATTTCATATTATTCTTTGTTGTAAACCGACCCGCTTCTTCTTTTTTTGTTTTGATAAATACAGTTCCAGTTCCTTAATGCTTGTATCACTAGCGTTTTCATCAATAATAAAAATCATCTTCACTTCTACTACTGTAATCACTACTGTGGTATGAAGGCATTTCTAACCTTTTAGTTGATATCACTTTTCTCAATGTTTTTGTACATATAAAGTATGTAGTTGTAAAATAGAATTGGGACAAGGATGTATTTAAATTCTATGTTTGTGCGTGTTAACACTTTCCTTCTAAAGAAGAAAAAAACGTGAAATCCTGCATCTTATATGTAAAATATATAAAGGTCCACATAGGCATCAGCAGTGGTATTAATTTTAGTATTGAAGGTATTTTAGCTAAATGGTTTTCAATGTGACTCGCAATTTATGAAATACCCTGAAACAGACACACACATAGAGCCCTAGTTAATTTGGTAAACAAAGTTTATTTCACTATTTTTAAGTGTTTTCAACAAATCATATCTAACGTTGTTCTGTTTCAACAATACACCATTGTTATCAAAAAGTTAGAATGTAAAAATCTAACGAAAAATCTGGTTAAAAACACATTTTACAAATTAGCTATATGATAAATATACGATGAGTATTAACGTAATTAAGTTTTTATTTCTATGTATTCAAGCGTGAACAATAATATCTTCAATCGAGGGGCATATTTATTCCAACATATTTAATTTAGCAAATGCTCTTATTCTTGAAAGGCATAAATTATTAACCAGATATTCTTCATACTTAAGCGCATGTAACGGTAGTCATTCTGACTTTCCAAATAACCAATCATTCGCTATATGTGAAATCACATTGAGATTTTGTAATATTGAAATATGTGTGTTGTTTCCCTGGAAAAACATAGTGTTGCAGATTTTGTTTTCTTTCCAGCTCTCGTGGCTTGATGGGGAAGGAGACGTAGTAGCCAGTGATACAGAATACGAAACACGTGTGCTTAGTGACGCGAAACGAGCCAACGCCATCCTGAAATGGGAACTGACACCAACACGGAAACACCACATGAAAAATTTCACCTGTCGGTCTGAAAATCCAGCCTTAAAACAACCAGCCTTTGCTACTATAAGACTGGAAGTGAAATGCAAGTAGAAGTTATATACACATATAATACTATATATATATATATATATATTCCTGAAAAATATTTTGTGTAAGCTTAATACAATGATTACACATAAAAAAGTTTTAAATGATGTTCAACTCACATTCAAGTTGAAATAATCGACTTGGACGCGAAATAATTTAATGTGTTATTAATTCCTTGAAAACCATAATGTGTATTGTTGTTTTGTGTAAGGGATTTCCAAAAGTAATGGTGAATAATTACTGAATTAATCGAACCGTTGAAATACTGGAAAAATCTATGCTGCATCAGAATGGTCATAAAATGTTCACGGGTAACGAAATCAGGAGAACATGAATTTGTTGCAAAGGTTAAACATATAATGTCTATATAATTCATAATATGTTTTATAGAATATTATATAAAATATATTTTATTGTTTTTTATGAAGCACAGCTAAATCTAGACAACTCTAGACAGTATGTATCGAAGTGTTACTAGTTTTATACTGTAATTATAACTTTTTGTTGTTGTACTAATACCATGATTATGTTTATTGCTTTGTTTCTTTAATATCAGAAGCTGTCTGTGAATGATAAAACCGTTCAGTTAGAGTATGCGTTTTTAAATAATGTTTCAGTACCTTTTAACAAACACGATAAACTGGACTGTGGTACAAAAGTAAATTCTATATAACATGATCCCCATGTCAAACATAATACATATAACGCTTGATAACATGGGAATTGCCTTTATGATGAATTATTTTGATACACTGTTTTTTTATTACAAGTTTGTCAAACATGACGTAACTAGCCTATGGTAAAGTGAAAACCGCACATATGATATTTTCCCCCGTATCCCGTTTTTTTACCGATTGACTAAATATAACATAACGAGCCTCAGATAATTTTTTTGTATTGTACAGATACTATACATCTTAAATAAATTAGACACTTTTCTTAAAAATAGAAATGTTAAATAAGAAATGTTAAAATACTTGTTACTGAAGTTGCATTTCACAATACTTAGTGAAGATGGAACAAATGATTAGAAAAAAGAAGTGAAAATAACTTTTCATTCTTTGTAAACAAAATTGATAGATTAAGAGAAATGGGTTTCCAAAATATAGTACAAAATCTGCTTATTCTTCTAAGCAATGCTATGGTTAATGAAGCAAAATATGTAGCAAAACTAAGAATGGTTTCAACGAAAGGTGGTTCTTAGTTACATATTGATTCAATATACCGATAGATAAAGGATTGAATTCCTTTGGCCTAGATGTGTTTTTATTTAATTATTAGTCTTCACGTTGACCCCTAACGGCATAAATTTGATACATTCAAGATAGAAATTATGTTATTCTTTTAATTAATAACCGAAATGTAATTTGGGGTAATGGTTAATTTGTTTTTGATTAAATGTTCTATTGAGACATGAAACATGAATTCAAAATTATCTTCTGATATTTGATTTTTTTATTTATATCTTTTTATCAAATATTTTAGAATTTGAGATACATACAGTATACGTAAAGAATGTTTTCTCTTTATTAATATTTTAATTAAAGAATTATATTGAGTATGCTTGAATTTCAAGCGCTTTCGGATGAATTTCCATGCAATGCAGTGACAAAGTTAACAGTTCTGATACTTAAGTTTATTTCTGGGCGGATTGCTCTTTTGTTGAAACTGTTTAAACTACTAAATAAAAATGCAATGTTTACCCCCTCCAAAAAAAGGACAAACACCAAATAGCATAGTTTTAAAGAGTGAATTAACTATTAAACATGCATTATCTACAAATGTGTCTCAGTTAAACAATACGCACTTGGGACTGACTAGATTCCTCTGTCATTTCAGTTTCAGTTTCTTGAAGAGACTTGTAGGACAAACTATTTACTCACATTTAATACACTTCATATTTCTTATTAACGATGTACTGTCCACTATTGAAGATACTACACTGTAATAATAGAATAACCCTCTAACGAATAATTGGTTTTACGTTCATTTTCGTAAATTTATAATGTTTTTACCTGATTGTAGGTTAATAATTTATCACATCCACAACTGTGATAAACAGTATCAAAATAACTACGAGACTTCAGAAGATAATATATTAAATTAACTAAATAATTAAATATATTTTGAAATCTCTTGTTTTTTCTTATTGTTTATCATATCATGTGTACTTATGTTTCCTTATTATTATGCCCCCCAGTGGCACAGCGCTATGTCTTACAACGCTAGAAACAGGGTTGCGATACTCGTGGTGGGCAGAGCACAGATAACCAATTGTGTAGCTTTGTGCATAATTACAAACAAACAAACTTTATTATTATATTGGTAAATCAATGATGAACGTTTACCAGTTGGTTGCAAAGAAGATAATAGAGCCTGATTTTGTTTGGCGTTCTGGTTTTCGTATATGTACTGCTTTTATTTATATAACCACATACTAGTTGGTTGATATGCTACTTCATAAATATATAGATAACTGTATTTTTTGTGCATTTAAATAAAACTTCACTGGCTGCAAACTATCTTTTTGAATCAGTAACATATTGATTTGTGATGCTTCAAAATTTATAATATTACAATGAATAAATGTCATTTTATATTGTATTTACTTTAAATATAGCTAATCACAGAAATAAACAGACAATTGTGTTTTTTAAAGGCAAGCAGATAAAGAAATAACTTAATTTCAGTACATTATTTTTAGCTAAACGAAACTAAAATAAAATATAACGTGAAAGTGAACTGTTTGAAAAAAAAACCGTAAATATTACGCTAAGAACTAATAAAGTAATTAAACTTTAGAAGCAAGGTTGTACTAAAGAAAGAACTTCCGTAAGGAACATGAAAATTTGTTCAGTTAGTTTAATGACGCGATAGCACATTCATTACGAGTTATATCAATATAAAAAGATTCAGCGTGTGTGTGTGTGTGTCACGTAAGTCCTCTTAAACCGCTGGTCGCACCAACTTCCAAACAATGCCTAACAAATCGTCTCGATCCCGAGGCTTGCACAAAAGTAAAATATTTTACTTCATCTCTTGGAGAACCCGGATTTTTCCAGAAAACTCCTTCTCGTAAATTGCTGAATTCACCAACTTCTAAATGGTACCAAAGGAGCCGTCTCGGCCCCGAGGTTTGAACAAAAATAAAACTTTTCATACAACCCCTTAATTAACCCGGGTATTTAGCGAAAACACTTTTACGGGTTTTCCCCTAAAGCGTACCTCAAATCTGGCATCGGTTTTCATTAGAGCACGTAAATAAGTAGCCTACAAATTATTGTTCGTAACTTGGTTAAATAAATTAAAGTTGCATTATAGTGGCCCTGTAAATGTGGGGCATAGGCCCATGCGTTCGCTAGTAGTCTTATCATCTCCAGAAGATAGGACATTTTTATGATAGCAGTATGTTAATTTTTTAGCCAAAAATACGATAGAGCAAACTATATATATATAGTCAGCATATTATACTGATTGTATTGAATACATAGCTTTAAAAAAAAACTCTAATTACTTTATAACGTTTATCTTAGTCCCAACATCTCGAGTTGAAAATTGTGAAACATAATTCAATCCTAGAATAGAGAAATCATTCATTTTTATAACACTCCAATAATACTTTAGTCATGGCACGTCATGCCTATTTCTCGAATATTTATGCACTGCACATCAAGGTAACTACATCCTCTGTAATAGTAGTACAAACAATTCGGTAATGCACAAGATACATTTTTATTACGTTTAAAAGTTGTTGTTTTTTCTATGTCAAATAGCAAAATCATAATTTAAAAATAGCATATATATATATATACTCCTTCTTTAACTAATCAATAGCGCCACATCATTTAAATTACAGATGCTCCAGAAGTGAACCTTACAGCTCTTAATAGAAACCTTGTAGAATATGATGATGTTCAACTATACTGTGAAGTCGAGGCCAACCCTATGGATGTCATTTATAAATGGTACAGGTACGCTAAAATGCAATTGTATTTATTATTGACAACCTTTTCACATTTTGGAAAATAAAATAAATGGTAGCAATCTTAAGGCTCGATTACAGTTATTCAACAAGTCTATTTCAGAAATTGTTTTAATTCCTTATGATAATATATATTATTATTTCAGCCTAGACAAAGTAATTATTCCATTATAACGTAATTAGAAACAAAATCCTATTAATCTAAATTGTAACTTGGAAACGCAAGTCCTTAACAAAATTGGTTAGACAGTAATGCCAAAATTATCTATGCAATTTTATAAACTTTAATTTCATGTATTTAGTTTATCTTACTGTGATTTTCGCATATTATTTATTGAAAATAATTAAGCAATAAAGTTGGTTGCCATATTTCTTATTTTAAGTAAACAAAATATTTATTTTAACATTACATCTTACAATTCTGAAGCTAACTAACAGTTTATGGAGTAATCAAAGCAAAGTTATTGCTTTTGGGATCAGTTGTTTGAGGACAGATAAGGAAGGTAAACGTAGATAGCCTTACTTAATGTAGCATGAACCTTTTTAAAGTGATAGGCATGTAAATAATTTTAATTGATTTTCTTTACTTTTTGCAACACATATTTTAAAATCATATATATATCACGAGGCTGTAAAAATTAGTTTTAAAACGTTATTTTCACTAATCTCCATATTTTTACTTAGAATCATGTACTGAACCTTTGATTTGTTACTATCTCATTTTTGTATGGTACCCATAGTTTGTTAACATGTGTAAAAAGCAATTCATTAATTTAAAGGTTGTAGCTAGCGTGGATGTTTCTTAGCTTACGCTTCTAGAACCTCTTCAGTTTAAAGTTGAATTTGATAATGACTAGACAACAAAGCGAGATCATTGAAACGTAACTGGCTCATCTTTCACTTTAGGTAGATTTATCTTCACCCTTCTTTTCAGAAATATTGCCATGCTGAACATGTCGTCACAGGAAGAATAACAGCTTCAAAATAGTTCTTATGTTACAATAGAAGACTCCATTTGTTGCAACCAAGCTTCAAGTGTTTTCAATGGCTTTCCACTGTCAGATTGCTCTTCTCTATAGTGTTTTCAAAAATTGACTTCTGGTTTCAATCTGTTCAACTTTTCAGACAAGTCTCGCTCATACACATATACGCAATGAAGTATCTGATAATTAGTGAAAAATCTAAAAATGCAGATGTAAGCTCTTGAAGATTGGAAATATGCTATTGATGTGGTATACCACAGCAAATTTTCAGTTCTATTGTAAAATAGTCTAAAACTTATATATAAACGCGTAATCTCTTTGTGGGTTAGACGATTTGAGGTTTAGCTTTCTTATATGGCGCAGCATCTAATGATTTTATCATTTGCGTTTTCAAGTCTGTAATGTACATTATTGAAGATCACACCAAACTTCTCTGTGAGTAGAGTCGTGAAGGTTTTCACCCTTCTGTAGGAATAGAAGAAACTGATTGGTAAATATAGTAGTTGAGGAGATAGCTGCATCTTTCACTGACACAGGAAAGTAAAATAATTATAATAAATACGAAAGGCCACATAATTAAGCAGAATACAATTCTAAACAAGGTCTTCCTTGAATACATAACATCTGGGATTATTTCGTCAAGTATGATGACCGACTCATGATGCTCTATCGACTTGGTTTCACAAATATACTTTCCTTGAATCAAAACTTGAACCTCTTGGTAGCTTCCTGACTTACTGCAACTTCCATACAACCTGAATTCTAAGGGATTTTAGACAAAATTAAATATTGATAGAGTGTCTAATGTTGTCTGTTGTCCATTATATCTATACAACTCGCAAGACATAAATTATCCACTGAGTGTCAACTTATTCATGTCTACATATCTTATATATATAGGGTTAACTTTAACTCTTCAACTCGATACAACTGTTGTATGTTTTCATTTATAATACTGAAGAATTTCACTACTCTTTATACTCTTTATATGTTTTCTGTATTTACTCTTGATAGCACATAAATATATCGCTTTATGTGATTTATCTAACCTTTGAAGAAGTGCTTAAATGATGTTCGAGCGCCTGATTACCACCATCAACTCTATGTCATGATAAGACTGTAAATTTACATTTAGTTTGAATGTTTAGACCGACTTTTTAGCAAATTTAGACAATTTACTTCCCCTTCATTACAATGCTTCCTACATGCAGTATTTTTCAGACACATAGCAACACTGTTTGCACAAATAGAACAAAGTGCTTTTTATTCCGATAAACTGTCTTATTTAAGTGGTTATTAAGTCGAACTGAGACATCACCCACTTTCTTTTCAAATCGTTTTTTAACCTCTTTCGATTATATGACAGACAGCTTGACGTCTTATCTTATTTAACAAATGTTGAACTCATGTGATGTCATGTTGCTTCTCTTAAAATACTACAAGTGTTCCATTGGACTTAAACAAAGACACGGTTAAAGGCGGTAGCTTTTTTATCCTTGTAACTGTAACTTAATTATGGAAAACGTTGGAACAAATACATCGACATTTTTCTAGGTCGTTTCTCGATTTGTCAGACTACACAGGTACTGTTGATGATGTGAAAGAATAGTTAGTTAATGGAGTCTGCGGATTTTGTTAATTCCTCGTATGCAACGTTATCTGCTAGATATAATATTTCCAGCATAACACTTTCCCACATCTCCAATTCCAGACAAAGTTGGGTTATTTGAGGTAATTTCTTCTGCAGATTCATGTTATATTTGAATTGCAACCAAGTGTGATGACAATATATTTGCAATCGAACTTTGGATGTTGGGATTAGGCTTCTCTTTGAAAACTGTTTAAACATTTCACTAAATAAACCAGTTACACGAATTGCATTTGTTCTACCTTTCTTCCTTACTGTTTTAAGTACTTGTTACATATTTCGAGCACTCAAGATAATTGAATTTATTCTCTTATTTTAGACATTTTCACATTTTACGTAAATAAGTGCAGTCGAGATAGTGATTACCCATGAAACATACCAGTACACTAATTATGTATACCATTCGATTTCGGATTTTAGTACTCTTAGAATTTTCTTGGTTCCTTCAAATGATTACTTGTTGTTGTTTTTTATCACCTAAAGATAATGTTTGAAACGTTGGCAGAACTCGTGTAATAAATCATTGACAAGCTACTTTACTGGCACACCAATGTGTCCTGGGGCACAGTCTCAATGTCGTTTGCGTGTGTGTATATGAACTTAATTTCTCAGTCCACCAGTTCTGTCCATCACACTTATAAAGGAAGAATGAACGAGAAACAAACTGTAGATTACAAAGCGATAGGCCTATTTCAAACTTAAATACAGATTCAAGCTTAATGATTGTTGCTTAAATTCGCGGCTATTTGTTATATGTTTAATGAATTTTATAATATTATTTAACAGTGACAAAACATATACATAGAAGGCTCTGCTTCCTCCTTCGAATCCATCGCTGTTTGGATGAAATTTAGTAGAATGAAATAATTTGTGTTATTTTAAGTTCGAAATTACTTTGATATCCATACAAACGAAGATTTACAAAGAAAAACACATTAAAACATAGTTTTTATTAATGACTTTTATTTTATTAAAGATTTGTGGTTTCTAGAAGAAATTAAAGTGAAACATTTAAAAATATATATATTATCATAAAAAGATCATAATGTGTTTATTTATTCAATAGATCTTCACATTTCAATAATTGTATATTTTCTGATATAGAAATAACGAAATAATTGTTGGTGATCACACCACTCATCTCCTGATAAACCGACTTGGACGTGAATATAATAAGAACAACATCAGTTGCGAAGTCAGCAATTCGGTTGGCAAGAAAAGATCTACAGTGGTGTTGGATGTGTTATGTGAGTACTTCTCTTTAAGGCAGCAATTATCCTTGAGGCCAGCAATGCATATACTACTAGTGTGTTTGTAGTATTTACAAATATTATACTGATGGAATACATTACTATTTAGTTCCAACTGAAGAAGTGAAATGACATTTCACGGAAATAACTACGAACAACAAGCAACATCTCGATAAATCATATTTTAAGTTTCTTGACGTTCATTAACACTCAATTCCAAGAGTAATGTCAATATTATATTTTACAGATATGTAAAGAAAGTAACAAATCTTTGATAAAATATATCTTATTTACAAAGAGGCGTCGTAACTTGAATATTTTATCTACCTATTCTTTCTCCTTGAATGTTCAGTAATCATATAACAACAAATTGATTTTTAATTTATACTTTTTTAATTTTTCAACAACTTCCCTCAATATAAGTATCATGTATTTTTAACTGTTTTAGCGCAAAGCTGCTCAATAGGTTATCTGTGCTCTGTTCACCAAGAGTAAATCAAATCCTAGACTTAAGTGCTTTAAGTCAGACTTACTTCTGAATTCATTTAACAGCTATTTTGATTCAAAATCACATCATATAGAAATTCGGACAATAATGTTTTTAAAACGACAAAGAAACATTAGGATTTATCATATATCAACCGAAATATAAATGAGATAACAAGTTATTGAATGTTTGTTTGTTTGTTTGTTTTTAATTATGCACAAAGCTACACAAGGGCTATCTGTGCTCTGCCCACCACGAGTATCGAAACCCGGTTTCTAGCGTTGTAAGTCCGCAGACATACCGCTGTGCCACTGGGGGCGTTATTGAATGTACATTTAACATACGAACAACTAAATAGAATTGGTTAGTCAAATAGAACCTAATCTAAGTACATAAATATTTCTGATATTGATACGTAGTGAAGAGTAAACACAAATAGGGGCTTCGTAGCCAGGTCGTATGTTAAATACAAACATCATAATGGCTTTTCGGTCTGGTGATATATATTGTAAAATAAGCAGAATTAGTGTTCGAGTATAATAAACACAATCACGAGTGTCTAAGTTATTATAATAAAGACAAACATTGTTGTAGGTTGTCTAATCTCTTGAAGCATGTTAAAGACAAACATAATCAAAATTTATCAGTCTGATCGTGTACGTTACAGCTGAGTAAACTTTTTATATTCGGATTTCAATGGGCAATCTCTTATAAGCGCATTCCCGTGTTTCTCAGTGTGTAGACGCATTATTAAGATCAACGTAATTGCTCGGTTCTTTGTCTCATCAAAAATAATAAAAACAAATGTGATAGTATAATTTTAGGATGTTCAGGTACATAGCAAACAAATGCTTAATTACATACTAAAAATGCGGTATGTTCTTCGACTTTTATAGATGGCCCCAAGATTAAAGAGTCTATAAGTATTGTAGCAGCAGACTCTGGTGATGAAGTCTCTTTACGCTGTGATGCTGACGGTAACCCCAAACCTGAAATAGCATGGATTCGAGAAGATCTCAATAGAATCATAGGAGTAGGTTCTATACTTGTACTATCCGACGTCACAGCGGAAAAGGTGGGAAAATACACATGCAGAGCAACGGTTGCTGGTTTTCCAGAAACATCAACACATATAATGGTCTATATAAAAGGTAATTTCCATAATAATCTTATCTTGACCTGCTGTTGTACCTATGTTGTTTATGTTTCTTATAAAAGATCTTCAAATAATTTCAGTAAAGTAGAATATTACTATTTAAGGAAATGGAATGATCAATCAAAAGTGACCATTCTTTGTCCAATCAGTTTCAGATCTAATATTCAGATTGCGAGTGAATGCCACACAGATGAAGTATATAGATAAGTTATTAAGTACGAAAAAGAAAAATACGTTTATGAAGAAAATAAAAAACATAATTACAGATACAGAGTGTCTTGAAGCTTTTTTTTACATGATCTGCAACAAAATTAATTTCTTGTTTCTACTTTATTTTAAATTTCATAGTCTGAGAAGTTCTATGTTACATTTTATTCTGTGTTTTCTGGAAAATGAGTCATTTATCGTTTCAATAGCAGTGAATGCTTTATTTATGGTTTAATAATGTAAGAATTATCGAGATTTTTCAAACATCAGAAGGGTATTATTTAACAGCGAATTTATTGACAAAATTATATTATTTCGCATTAATAACAGTTTATAAGGAACTAATTTAAGAAATTTGAAAAGCCTGTTGAATTATTTAAAATATATATTTAGTAAATTATCAAATTCAAATTAAGTACGTTGACTCATCTTCATTTAATATATATATATACTGCTAGAATTTATTACTAAATTAAATGCCCCCATCCCCACCCGGAAGTACATTAGAAGGAAAATATATTAGTAAACAGTATTTGGATTTAATTTCCTTTTGTTGGACGATAATATTCGTTGCCACTATGCAAAATAACGTGATTTTCCACCTTTTGTGAGGAAAGTGAATACTAAATTCATCAATGCCCATTTTTACAATATGCGGATCTTTGCGAGTGCAAATGCAATTTAATGTTTGTTTATATTTGTTCTTTAATAAACAGAGGGATTGACTCCCAAATGTTAGCGTTGTAAGCACTTAATTTAGCGATGAACAACATATAATGAACCATTCCTAATGTTGTATAGATTAGTAGATTTATCAATAGATCGCCGTGAGAATGTCTAGACGCTGTCGTGAATGTTTAGTTACGAATCTTTGACGATGTGGAGAAATACCTGCTAAGCTAGATCCACTGTTGAACGGTTTCACGTTTACTTCACTAACTTGCTAAACTGAATCAGCTGAAAAATGTCTTAATTATAAAATGTGAAACTTTCCTATAGAGCACCATCCAAAAACTGTAGAGAGACATTTGCTCTGATAGACACACTGATAAATGGCTTCACGTTTACCTTACCACTTAACACAGTTAAACCTAATGTACACTACCTAAAAGCTCTCGGGTTATTGAATTTCTTTTCTGATACTAAATACACTGAATCAGCTGGGCAGAACATCGAAGATAGAATGGGGAAATATTCTACAAAGCACAATCTCAAGGAAAACGAGGATTGCAGCAACCTGGAAGAGGTATGTTGGTAATTTGAGGCCGACATCCACCGCTATTAAAGAAACCTAGGATATCTCTACCGCTGATGGTAGATTAAGGTAATAAGTTTCACTTCTAATAGTTTCTGGTACATATATGCCAAAAATACACGGATCCATGACATACATAGTTTTCTTGAACACCTTTTAATGTATTATTGCTGAATGTTCTGTAGGTTCATTTATATATTCTTTCTTATTTAAACACGACATATACTTTTTAGTATAGAAGGTTCTTCAAAATGTATTCATTTTCTGGATAAATATGAAAAAATAAAATTTAGCAAACTAAAAAGCATAAATATTTTACGAAAATACACTGGTTATATACATATTTACATATATTTGCTTATAATTACTTTTAGATCCCTTAACCATGGTCACATACTGTGTTAGATTATAAAGGTCAAAGATGTCGTCTTATTTATAATGATGTTTGATCAACCAATGAATTAAGTAATTTAAGAAGTCTGTTTTATTTTTTCACGTAATTTTTACGTATCTGCGTTTATATTATAAAACCATATGTTCTGAGGGTTAAGTAAGTTGTATTAAATCGATTTTCAATATGAAACTCATTAAATCACGTAACAACTATACCCAATATGAAGTCGCGGTGGAAGGACATGTATCAGAAATACAATTCGACATTGTTTGGCAGTATGTAGTTTGTGTGATGCAACCGAAAAATTGGTAACTTTTGGGAATAACATGCAACAGCCATTTTTATCATAAAAATAATCACACGTTAATATTTTAAGGTCATAAAACTGTGTTGAGATAGGATATTTAGGATTTCTAAGACTGAGGTAATCACTTTAACTTAATGAAATTGAAAACAAGAGAATGTGGATGAACTTGGAACACCAGGACCACCCAGAAAGATACCTTCAACAAACCGTACCTAAACCAAGGTAGGCAAAGTGCAACATCTTGTAACAGGTGAGAATCCATGAACGAAAAGACCAGTGGCAAAAGCGGTACAAATCCCACAAGTAGCAGTATGTAACATAATCACAGAGGAACCCGATCTAGAAAGTGACACAAGTCATGTTATACAAGCTGCTTCCACAACATATCTGCTCAACCGCCATATATCACAAACAGGTGAAGAAACAAACGAGATTCCTGGTATTCCCTCCGAAGACATACAGGACAAATCATCGGATGCAACATCTATAGCTTTCAGTTCGATCAGACTGTTGAAACGAGTGCTGGGGAAACATTACCCTCGTACGCTAGTTAGGTGATGATAAGTTCTGCAGGAAGGATGGGTGGAATTTAGACATGAATGTCTTATATTGCAACCTTTTGCTAAAAACTACGCTGATAGGCTATTGTGAAGACTAGACGTAGAAATATATTGTTTGTAGGAAGAAAAATATGCAACTTATATGTGTATAAACCAAATAAAGTATGATTATTTGTTTTGTTTTTATTACTGTCTGTTCTTGAATTTAAGCAAGCGTTAACATTACAACGCCGTTAGAAATAAATTGCTATTCTCTGATATATTACGCTTAAGTACCGCCATTTTTCACCTCTGCGCGATCTGAAATGTAGTTCATGATACTGGAAGAAAAAGAGATAAAACCCACATAATACTTCAAGCTACGTTTCTCAAAATACTAACTTACTGTGTAGTCTTAAATCCACATTTCTTTCTACTATTTAAGGCCCACCAAAAGTCCAAGGAAGAAGCGTACAGTACGGTCAACTAGGACAAAAAGTTGAGGTAGAATGTGTTATCTACTCGGTGCCAGATCCTGTCCAGATAAAGTGGACCAAGAACTCGCAAGTAAGCATTTTTATATGATTCTCAATCTTCAACACACATGTTAATGGAATAATGCACTTGGAGTAAAACGTATCTCACCTGTTTCCTTATAAAAGAGCTTATTCAGTTAATTAGCTGGATTGTAATAATTTTCTGAATTTTGAAATAAGAAAATAATAATTGAATTTCATTCTTTCCCCATGCATATCGTCTGGTCTCTGTCTCGTTTATAGTTAAATGTTACATTTTGTTTTCACCTTTTAATTATACGATTTGATCACAGCATAATATATTCACATCTAATACGAATGAGTTTGACCATGATAATCAAAGAACATTATTCCTAATGTTAGATAGCCAAAATGTTGTTCCATAAATAACCACTCAGTTAATATCTCGTTCTGATGACAGTAACTGATGGGATGCAGAGGATTGACTTGTGAGCTCCAATTTAGCAGGAACGTGGTGAAGATAAAAGCAGGCATTTGAATGTCTACTTGTGTTCTATAACCACTGTGCTACCAAGCAGTTCGTCCTGAGGAAGGCAGATGTTAGATAAATAAAACATTATCGTGTAAGCACAGTGTTACCAGTGATATTGTTCTGATTAAAATATTAATATGGATGCCAAATCTATGTTCCAACGTTTTATCAGATAACTCTTTCTTTATGTCAAATCACTTGTAACTCGCTACTGCGTAAACAAATACTGAAAAACAACTAAATTGCGTTGTCCTTCAAATAATATATTTCTCGGTAAAACACTTACAAAAAGGGAATCTTTACGCATAGAAGTATGATACTTAAGTCTGATTTCATCGAAGATACGACCATTTGTCCCCAACGAAAAGTAAGTCAAAGCGTTGAATCTGAAATAACAATGAACAATTTTCCCAAGCTAGTAGTAATGTGTTCATTGAACCAATAAGAATTAATTTATATTCACTGTAAATAGTATTGTGCTATGATCATAAACACTCCCCTGACCTTACATTGTTTTTTTTTTTCTCTTTTTATTGTTGTTGTTTATCTCCTTGCACAGTTCGAAATGTTTATTTATTTTCTAGGTGGTCAATATTGACAACTCACATGGTTATGAGATCGTGACTCAACCTTTACCAGCAGGTGCTCGACACCTTCTTATCATACACAATGCTGAAAAGAATGATTTCGGCATGTATAACTGTTCAGTCTGGAATGACTTCGGGCATGATAGTATGTTAATATCTTTAGAACGTCAAGGTTAGAAGTTGTTTATCTTATTTGTGTTTTATTTGAGGAACGTACCATTACTATATCTTTCACAGTTAATTCAACGTATAATTTCATATAGTCATGTTTTCATTTATATTAGAGAAAGTTAGAAATAGAAATATAAACATTGTCTTACTGTCTTTCACAATTTTACAAATCCTTTAATCCACAGTGTAAGGCCAAACTTTAACATATCAAGAAGCTACAATACTCCAAATCTCTCTGCTCTGTTTTAGAAACACAATACTTACGTAGATATTATTGGCGACACATGTACCAAGCACACTAGTTTCTCGCAAAGTTGTTTTTACTTTACATTGTCTGCAAGTCATGGAACATAAAGACGACGGAGTAAAAAATAACTGTAGTACAAGCAAAACTCTTTCGTTAATGTCTTGTTTATAACATTGCAAATTGTACATTAGAGCTACTTGTTTAAATTGTGTGTATTATTTTTTCATTATTCCATTATTTTAATTCTATTTGCTTTGTTTGTTAATCTATTCAAACGAAAATGCGCAATCGTGAGGTTATATAGATCCATAGGCATTAAACTTCATACCGGTTCAATATAAACGATTCTAATGAAAAAACAACAACATCGTAATCTTTGTTTTATATAAATTTTGTTCATATGTCCTGCAGTGTGGAAGTACCACTTAGTTTTTCCACGACGTCTTTGAGGTGATTTTATTAGCAGTCATAATAGCATGCAAGAATGTAAGTTGTGTAATATTATACTTTTCTATAAAGCAAAATGAAATATTTAAAATTAATTTTAATCGACGTAAGAACATCCATCCGTCTGAAAAGGACGTTACTTGAATACTTTACACCCAAGTATTTTTTCTAACGTCCGTTTAAAGGTGAAGACTAACAACTTTCCCTTCCCCTTGTTTCACAATCAGGTTTCACTGACTATACTAATATATTGGTTACAAAAAAAACCTTATTTTTCTCAGTAAACTAATGAAAATAATATATTTGAAATAGTATTTCTATGTCCACGTTACATTTTTTACGAAAACATATAAAAATAGCGTATTTTAAATGCCTTCCACGAATATAAATACAGTAGCGTGTTTTATTATTATTGCTTATGTATGATAAAGAATGAACTGACTTAATTAAAAAAAATAAAAGCGTCCAAGAATCTCTCAGGTCAATATTTATACAATTAATGACTTGTAGAATTAGAAGAGTAAGGAAAACTAAGATAGGTAGGCGATCAATCTTACTAACACTTTATCTACATACATTTACGCTGAAAACTTTTCACTACACAAAAATCATAGGTCTCTACAAGTAAATCCCTTTACTGAAAAAGTAGAAATAGGAAATCTCCTCGCTTTTCGCATAATATTTGACTGATACATTAATCATTTGAACAATCATGCACTAAACCCGGAGTATTAGGGTTTCCATCCTTTTATTATCAAGGAGCGGTATTTTATAGATTTTTGATTGGTAACATATTTTCTTTTTTGGAGGCTTCCGGAGGATTAGTATTGGTAAGTTCAAAGTTCATCTATTAAAACCTCTCTAGCGAAACCATTGTTATTTAAATGATAAAATAAGTGAATTGTGTAGCGTATAGAATTAGCGTTCAATTTTTTATTAATGGGAATTATCAGTGATTTTTGTTACATTGTTTATATTGTGTAAATGACTATAATGACATTGGAAGATATTTTGAAGTTTTCAGTGTATGCTTGTATATGTTGGTGTAAAGAAAAATAGTATAATGGAAAATTTGTTGATATGAATAGTAAATCTAACAAATCTGCTTACTACACAAGTAAACTTCACTCAAGCTCAAGTGTTAGTTGTGCCCAAGCAATATTTGTCACGTTTCATTTCGTTAGGTCCCAATCATTTTACTTTTCTCCGTGTCTGACACAATAAAATAATTTACTAAAGATATCAAAACATATTTATTCTTAATATATTGTGAAATTTTATTAAGATGTTTTCCATTTAAAAGTGGAAAAAACATCGCCTCGAATTCATGTGTTTTACCTGAATGTAAGGAAAGTACAAGTGTTAGATATTATAAAATATCAAGAACATAGTAAAAAGTTAAAAAATCAATGAATAGTAAACACCATAAAACACAAACTAAGTATTAATGTCAGTTGTATGACGATATCTATTATCACGACAGGTGTCTAATGTTTTTACTTTCCTTTTTCATAGAGCACATTCCAACTTTGATCGTCATTGCAGGAGTTATTGGTGGAATATTTTTTGTCGTTTGTATTACTATAATAGTAATATTGTGTCTACGAAGGATAACTCTCTCCAAAGGTAAATTAGATAAATAGAGTGCGAAAGAATATTATCGGTTTTATTGTTCTAATCAAATTATTTAAAATTTACTAATCTAATTTAGAAAAAAATATCTAATGCATCAGCCATAATCATACTGTTTTATGATCCAGTAAAATGATTGGTATGTATTAGGTCGTCAAAAAATTAATGTCGCGTTTGGGAATACTTTCATTAACCATCCCCCAAAAATACATTCATCACATATAATAGTTAAACGAACCACCTAAACGTCACGTTATTGTATTCTATAATGTGTAAAGTTTAGTTTACTCTAATCCCTTATAGTGATGGCACACGACGAAACACACATTCGGCATGTAATATTGTTTGAATACAAAAAGGGAAACAACGCCTCTGTAGCCACAAAGAATATCAAAAAGTTTATAGAAATGTTTTGAACGTTCGTTAGTGTCATCGATGGTTCAGCAAATTTCCTTCAGATGACTTTAGCCTTAAAAACGATGATGGCAGGGGCTGACATGTTGGAATTGATGCTGGTGCTCTGAAAAAGTTTGTTGAGTCTAACCCAAGGCAATACACTCGTGAAATGGTCCTAAAAATGCATGTCTCTCGTGACACAATACATAAACATCTAAAGAATATGGAAAAACTCACTAAAAAGGCGTTTGGGTGCTTCACGAACTCTCTGATGATCATCGTTTCGAACGTGTGAACAGAACGTTGCTTCGTCTCTTCTGGCGCGTAATGCGCGTGAACCATTTTTGGACGGAATTGTCACCGGTGAAAAATGGATTCTCTTTGCGAATATTAAACGTCAAAAACATTGGCTCAGTCCTAGACAAAAGATACTTCCGATCCCAAAACCTGGACTCCATCCGCAGAAAGTGATCTTTGTATTTGGTGGGACATCAAAGGAGTAACTCATTTCGAACTCTTCAGTCCACAGGAAACTTGTCAATGCAGATATTTATAATCAGCAACTAGAACGTTTAAATCAAGCCTTTCATCAGAAACGCCCTTCACTCCACGACAATGCACATCCGTATGTGGCACATTTGACACAACGCAAGATTATGAAGTTCTTCCCCACACACCATATTCTCCAGATATGCACCATCAGATTACCATCTTTTTCGTTCGCAGCAACGCCATCTTAATGGGGAAAACGTTATATAAATGTGGAAGGTGTT